CAGGCCTAAATAAAAGCCTTTGACAGGCCACATACCTACACAAATCATTGTAGGCCAAGCCCAATACTATTAAAGCCTGGCCTGGTCTGGCCTATTCCCACTCTAGTCGGGGACCAGACCCACGAGTGTGGGGTGAAGGTGAGTTAGGTAGGAGGTGGTGCACAGACAGGGAAATGGACGGGCTCGAAGGGGGTCCTATGGTGGCACCGCAATATTATATATATTCTAAGCTGTGTCGCATGTCTACCTTCCCAGTTCCACTAAGAAAAGTAAAAGTGGGTCATCGCTATGTTATTTTTTGAATTATGAAATTAAATGAGAATCTAATCTTATATTTTTACTATTCATTTTCCTTATGAAGCGGGAAAGAAACTTCCATTATGTGGCCCATTAGAATTAGTTGACATAATTAGTGTTTATGGAATAAATATGATGGTATACGATTCATTCTTATTAATTTGAGTAAAGAGATATAGTCGGTGATCAATTGAAAATATAAAGATATTAATCAAGATTGTATCAGACTTAAAATTGTGATTATTGTTCGTAAGCCAACAAAATGGTTCAATCTAAATGTTTGTTCGTAGATTTGGGTTTTATCAATTTTTTTGAGCTTGCTAATTGTCTCATCAAGGAATGATGTTGAATAAGATTGTTTGATTAATTATGGAGGTGTGGTCTTTTGAAGATATAAAACTTAGCTTTGGATGTCAAGAACTGACTCAATATTTTAGGATTATAGAGAATACAACTCAATACTCTTGAAAGCATGTTGAATAGATCCTTATTACTCAATTGATTCATCTCATACACTTTAGAGGATTTTTAGAACTGTGTGTGTGTGTGAGAGTATGAGGCAACTCCTCTTGATATGAGGCCATAAATTAAGTGGAGATCTCTTAATGCTTTTGAGTAGACTTATTTACGTCCTATGATATGACAATGGATTGTTTCCTATTGTTAGGAAGGAGACATTTTAACCTTTTCAACTACTTTTAAAATGTCTAGTGGGAAAGAGAACTGTCGTGAAGGCATCTTTATCGCGGTAGGAGCAATTCATCGAGCAATTATCGAGCAATTCATGTTGTTAAGCGGAGGCATCCAACACTTTTGGGAGAATCCACATGACTGACAACTAGAGTGTGAAGCAACTCATTCCTAATATAAGTTTAGTGGAGGTATCTCGACACTTCCAGATGGAGGCTTCTAAACGTCCTATAAGGTGGTTATGGAATAATACCTGTTAGCAGGATGGAGGGATCTCGACTTTTTCGAACAATGTTAAGAATAATTTATATAGGAGCAGAGACATCTCAATGCTCTTGGTCGGTTTAGGTGGGACAACTCAATCTACAACAACTTACAACAAGTATAACAAAGGCATCTCCAATCTTTAAAATTATGTTGGTATGACTGAGACATCTTTGTCTTAGTAGAAGCGAAGAGTTGAAATTCATCTCCTTAAGCAAAAATAACATTTCGATGTTAGTGTGTTTGCATTATTATAAGAGAAACTTAAATAAACAAACTCTTTAAACTAATAACATTTTTTTTGAATTTAAACTTGTGTGTTTGCACTCAGTTTAAGCTTGAAGTTTCTTTTTTGTTTTAGTTTGAAAATTGATGAACATTAAAAATCGTAAAACTAAAACGAATCAAACCGAAAAAAAAAAACTTTCGATTTTTATGTCATAAGATTTCGATTTCAGTTTTATATTTTTATAAAATTTCATAGCACGATTCAATTTATCTTTTATTAAAAAACTGAATCAAACCGAATATACCCTAGTTAGAGGTAAGAATTGTTGTGAATCGGATATTTATAATTTTTGAATTATTTTAGTATATAAATCAGTTTTAGAGCCCAAGTCAAACCAATATTAAATCTTCATGAGGCCTATCGGCCCATTCGCATGCCGAAAACCCCAATTGTATCGGCACAGAACCAAAATCCATCAAAACTCAAAAGTGATTTCGTTTTCCATTCTACCGCTCTCGATCTGTCTTGAAGAAGAAGAAGAAAACCCTCTTAATATACCCAGAGAGAAGAGTTGAAAACCCAGTTTTTTCAATTGAAGAAAGCTAGTAATTAAGGCGGTGGCGTAGAGGAAAATGTTCAGGAACCAGTACGATACAGATGTGACGACATGGAGTCCGGCGGGGCGGTTGTTCCAAGTGGAATACGCGATGGAAGCCGTGAAGCAAGGCTCCGCGGCGATCGGGCTTCGATCTAAGACCCATATCATTTTGGGTTGCGTCAACAAGGCCAATTCCGAATTGTCTTCTCACCAGAAGAAGATCTTCAAAGTCGACGACCACATCGGCGTCGCCATCGCCGGTCTCACCGCCGACGGCCGCGTTCTCTCTCGGTACATGAGGAATGAGTGCATTAACTACAGCTTCACTTATGAGTCGCCGCTTCCTGTGGGCAGACTTGTCGTCCAACTTGCCGATAAAGCTCAGGTCTTTCTCATCGCTTGGAGTACTAATTTTTTTTTATAAAAAATTCTTAAATAATGAACGACGGGCTTCATTTTGAGTGTTTCTAAACTGAAGGGTAATGTTGATTTTTTGGGTTTTCTTTGAGAAATTGCAATTTTAAACCCTAATTAGTGGGTCTCTTCTAAGGCAACGAAGTAAATAGAACTGCAAAATTAAGCATAAAAATGTAATTTACTTAACCAAAACATGTTCTTAACAAAGGTTACCTCACAGTTAAAGCTTTTGTGTGGGAAACATTGATAGATCAAATAATGTGGAATTACAAGTAAATTGAACCTCCCATTTGCATTGCTGCTGAACCTCAATGTTTAATCTGGAATAGAGTGAAATGGAATGGGTAATGATGATTTGTATGGTACAAACAGAAAAAAGGGGGAAAAGAAAGATTCAACTGAGGGGGTCTCTCTCTTATAGTTTTGTATTCAATTGTGAGCTAGCTTTACTTGGAAGTTGTTGATGAGGGTTTGACTGTTCCTTGCATCAAGTGATTCATTCAGATAACAATCTCGTATGTGCTTTTTGCTTCTGACAAAAAACCTCGGGTTATAGAGCAGGCTATAGACTATTCCATAGACAGGCTGATTTGAAAAGATTGTTGGAGGTTACGAGTGTATGCCAATTACCGTTTTAATACCTTGCTTCTGTTAATCGAATGATTGAGAGTATAATCGGATAGAAGTGCAATCGAGGTTTGAACAGGCTAATGGTTTCTCTGGACCCAACTCAGAGAGCTTGGCATACCTTTGTGTGCTCGGTTTTAGCTGTACTGGTGTTATGTGATCAATTAGCATTTTTTTCTTTTGCAACTTTGTCATGATTACTTGATCTGTATATTTGTCGATGCTAATGTTGAGATGGAATGATCTAGTCTTTGAGGTTGGTTATGGTCAGTGGCCATTAACTTGTGATAGACTATCTATTTTTCATATGCCTCTGTGATAGTAATATAAAAGTTATGGAAGCCTTCTGTTTTTCAATCTTTTGCTTTGTTTCCTTGCTATTCTGTGTTTTCTCATTCAATTTGCCACTAAATTTTGTATACTACTCAACAGTATCAAGGGCATGATCTTAATTCAATTTCATATTTGGGTGTTACTTTTAACACCGATTCAATGAAATGTAGTTGATGCTAAAGATGGCAACTTTGTGTGGAACACCAAGCCTACAAACACAAAAGTATTATTTATTTTGTTCAAATTGAAACGGGGAAATGGTTGTGTTTGGTGGCAGGTGTGCACCCAGCGCTCTTGGAAACGACCCAATGGCGTTGGCCTGTTGGTGGCTGGCTTGGATGAATCTGGGGCTCATCTCTATTACAACTGCCCAAGTGGAAATTACTTTGAGTACCAGGCTTTTGCCATTGGATCCCGCTCACAAGCTGCGAAGACATACTTGGAACGCAGGTTTGAGAACTTTGCAGATTCCTCTCGGGATGATCTGGTCAAAGATGCTCTTATGGCAATAAGGGAAACCCTGCAAGGAGAAACTTTAAAAAGCTCAACATGTACAGTTGCTGTGGTAGGGGCTGGGGAGCCGTTCCATATTTTGGATCAGGAAACTGTACAACAAATGATCGATGCCTTTGAGATTGTGGGAGAGCAAGAAGGATCTGCTGCTGCTGCAGGACAAGAGGCTGCTCAGCCAGGTGCTGCTGTTGCTGATCAGGGTGGTTCTACTGACGAAGGTGTGGCCCCAATGGACATTTAAGGATGAGTGGCTTCAGCGCACATACTTGGCTTTAGATAAGATTTTCTAGCACCTGATTGTGGATTTTAGTAAATTACCACATTATTGTGATGGATATTTCTTTATTTTGCAAACTATCTTTTTACCATTGCTTCAAACATGCAAATGACTTGAAATTAAGTTTTACAGTTATACTCAAGGTACAATCATTGGTGTTAACTTGAGTGTTATTACTTTGAATTTGTGAAATTTGATTCGGACATGAGGATCTGCGACTGACCAAACTTTGTATCAATGGCACAAAGACACCCCCACAAACATCGAAACTATATATATTTTTATATATGCTTGTTCTCAGTTGTACGAACTCTTGAAGAATAACGATGGATATTTTAGCAAAGCCGAAGTGATGATTGTAAGTCGTTCCATTGGCCCCCGACATTATTTAGATTTTTAAGTATTAAAAGATTGTTTTATAATTTACATACTTTTTATTAAATGAGCAGTATTTCAAACGTATATGAGTTGCAAAATATTCTGTAAATCCATCCAATTTATGGATAAATCTATTGCAGCAGGAAAATGGGGTTCAATTTGAGCACATTTTATTTTATAACCAAAGCATGCATAATCCCTAGCTTTAAAAGTGGAACTCTTGGATTTATTCACCATTGTTTATTACAATTCCCAGAAGCTCTGGGCCTTGGACCACTCATAATCAATGTCTAAGCACAGCAAAGCCTGCCGCTTGCTTTATTCTGGTTAATAAGGAGGCAGCCCAATCATACATAGAAAACAAGCATCTTAGGTGCCAAGGAACATTAGACATCAAAATACATCTTCAGCTGTCATGAACTGAGTTTCTGAGTAACCATACAAACAGTATAGTTTTATAGCTAAAACGGAGCCATGATTCTATCCTTGTCCGGCATTATTCGGAAATGAGAAAGAAAAAATCATCCCTCTGCACGTACTTCAACATAACAACAATTTTTCCTTGATGCAAAATCTCAAGGCTTTTGGAACAAATAGAAAGCAACTTGTGAAAACAAAAAGATCATTTTAGAGAAGACTTCTGTTCTTTATCTGGTAGGACATTGTCTGGAAGAATTAGTTCTGGGGGAGTTTCACGGACAACGCCTAGCATTGAGTCATACTCTTCATCCCTACGAGCAAACTTCTTGCGTAGAACTTTCTCAAATTCAATTTCATCGAAGGGCTTTGCATTCTCAGCTGCATGTACCTGTGCAAGGTTGGTATAATTGGTGGCTGACTGGGAAATAAATGCTATCTCTTCGTCAGTAAGCTTCCTCAGCAACTTAGCTGGATTACCTCCCCAGACCTGTTAAAAACCAGTGAAGATTAAACACTCAATCATCTAAGGTAAAACTCATAAATACATTTTCTCAGCAATTAATTCAAGCAGTAGAACCGTCTTAAGTATTATACATGTTACCAAAATGTATCCTAACACCTGTTTTATCTTTATGCCTGAGGAACCCAAGTGTTTTCTCTTTCTTTACAAGTTTTCTAACTTCTCATGCAAGTTTATAGTTTATTTTTCATTCATACATGCTACCATAATAAGAAATGATTGTGCCTTCGGTAAACAGATACACCAATAAGATTGTCGAATATTTTTCAAGAACATGGCCATAAGAGCCAAGTTTCAGAAAAAATGGAGTTCACAGTACCTCCCCAGCAGGGATCCTTGTATTCTGTCTCACGAGGGCTCCAGCAGCAACCATAGCATGTTTCTCCACAACTACACCATCAAGAAGAGTTGCTCCCATGCCAACAAATGCTTCATCCTCAACAGTACAGCCATGCAAAACAGCACTATGACCTGCTCATTTTCAAAGTTTCCATCATAGCCTATTAATGGAACTTTTTATCAGGTTAATGTACACGAAATTTATGGCCAATACCACTTTACTCACCGACAGTAACATTGTTTCCAATGTTAGTTGGTAGCACTTTCCCACTTAGATTAGACTTTGCCACATGCACAAGGGAGTTGTCTTGTATATTAGTTCCGCATCCAACACTAATGCTGTTGACGTCCCCTGTTCAAAACAAAACTAGGATGATTATCAGAGAAAACTAAAAAAAATAATGTCAAAGAAATAGCCCTAATATCCCTCTGAACAAATTCATATGGGATGAGAAAATTATAGCTTCCTCTGCACATGGCGGTTAAAAGATAGTGTGGTAGGGTGTGATATCAGGAACCTTCTTGAGATTATAGTACTGAAGAGTCAAACTCAACTACATACATTAAAAATGCGTTATACATGGGAGATGCCCTGAATGTACATCGTAGAAAGGCTTTGCTATGTGTTATGGCCGCACAAAGTCAATTTTCAGCTTTCTCATTAGAATAATGAGTAACTGCAGTCACACGTATGGTGCATATACTACACATACCAGGGGACTTCATTTGAGGGAAGAAAATAATTGTCGAAAGCAACTTTGTAACCCAAAACTCAATCTGTCATATAAATAAACATCATTTTATAGTTAAGGAGAAGAATGATAAATACTCCAATCAATAAGTCTGTTCTGTGGGAGAATTAGTTTTCCATATTATGAATAGTGGTTGTACTTAAGGTTTTAAGAAGCATGTGGAGTTGCAGACATGAATCGGGCAGATTTGACAAGGTATAAGGTACCAGTAGCAAGCATTCCATTTGCGTGAGTAAGTAATTATTAAAAAAAGCTAAAAGGTTAAGGAAATAGTAATGCCTATCAGGAAGAAAATATCTCACAACATTAATAGAAAATAAAATTAAACAATACCAATAATTTATAGTTGAACCTAATAGTTAATTTTACAGGTTACATTCCTCTAAACCAATTGTTAAAAGTTGAAACAATTTATATCCCTCAGAAAGACTAGCAAACAATTTATATCCCTCAGAAAGACTAGCCACATTTCTCTGGAACAGTGTGATAAACATAGACATTTGTTAAATATAAAACATTCAGAGTATGTTAAAAAATAACCGACTTAATCTCACTATCTTTAGTCACATACTTTTCAAATTTAGACCATTAATAATACCTATTTGATTCTTATGTCACAATCTAAATGTTAATTGGCATAGTTTTAACCTTTGATATGCTAATTTATAGGCAAGAAGTTAGATACCATCCTTCATTGAATAATTTTAGTAGAGACCTACAGGATATTTTCATCAAACAAAAACACGATATCAGGTATAAAAGCAAGGATCTTACCCCTTAAAATACACCCATACCAAATTGATGATCCCCTTCCCACCTGAACATCACCAATGACAGATGCGCTAGGGGCTACAAATGCATCCTTGTCGACCAGAGGAGATTTGTCAAATACGTTCATCAAAGTCCGATGCCTAGAAACTAAGAAAAGAAGCAGAAAACCCGATGAAAACGGCCAGATAATGAAAAATTAAAAACATAAGCAAAACTCTATATTTGAACACAAAATGCAATGATATCAAACAGCCAATTTCCACACAAATTAGCAAAGAAAACAACCAGCACAGTCAACTAAACAAGGTTATTAAAGATTCCGTTGGAATTACTTGGAAAGAAAAAAAACAGAACCCGGAGTTTAAAATCATAACTACACTCAGTGTTTTCATACAGAGGAAGTCCAATAGTTTCACAACAATATCAAAGGAAATGTAAGCTATAAAATGAAAAGAAATAAAAGAAATTATTCGGTTATTGAAATCAGCTGAAGAAACTTCACAGATTGAATCCATATTTCAATTTGGAATTAGCAGATATTAGGTTAGGAGTGGATTTTGAAGATGGAAAAAGAAACGAAGCAGAGAGGTATGTGATAAAACTCACGTTGCTCTTGGAAATAGTAGTTGCCTTGGAGGCGGCAACCGAGGCGATCGAGAGCCTGACCGGTCTCGCGAATCCAGAATCCAACGGTGTAAATGGCTTTGCCAAGGCTTCCCATCTTCAGCTTTGATCGGTGATTTTGGGGGTTTTCAGGCGAGCCAGTGATTGGGAAACGAAGCTCGAAATGGTGACAAATGATGATGCTCTTATTTTAGTGGTAGACTAGTAGGGTTGAATATTAAGGGCTTAAGTCAGCTCAACTTTGGGTTTTCACAACTCGGTCCGCGTCTGTTGAGTTGAGTCTAGGACTCTTCTTCAGTAATAGCCCAATAATGACGTAGGAAGTAAAGTAAGAAACAAGTTTAGCTTCGTAAACAAAGTTCAAAATAAAAATAATTTATATTATAAATAAACATTAACATAAAATATACGTTTAATATTATAAAATGAAGAGGACTGGGCAACGCTTTTTATCCGCATAATAATGAAGAGAACTGGACAACGCCATTTGACGAACTTGGACTTCAATGCTGTTCAAACACTTTATACGTTTTTAGATGAATATTTAATATTATAAAATCGGATTTAAGATTGAATCAAATAAATATCTAAATTTTAATTTAATAGACGTCACTGTTTCAATTATAGTTTGACATTACATAAAGAGTAAGGTTTTGCTTCCTTCTTTAATGAGATTAAATTTTGTGGGCCCATTCATATTAATATGAAGTGAATATAATTGTAAGGAAATATTGATTTAAAGACTATACATATATATATATATATATAATGCTCGAACTCAATATCTTAAAGAATAATAATAATCTCATGACCACGTACTTGTTTCGTGTTTTATTTACATATAAACGGATTGTTTTGTTCTTTTAATCAATACCGCAAATAAATGAGATCCATATGTTATTTGAAGTTTTTGTTAGAAAAATTATATTGCACAAACACAAAATACGATGAGTACGACGAAAAAAACAGGCTTCACATTCTATCAGTGTCTTCTAGTAGTCCTCTGACATTTTGAACAGCCTTGCATTGCGAATTCCAAGAATGTTGATAAGTTCAGAAAGACATGCCGCATGAATGCCATCACTACTCGAAATCTTAGAAGAGTGATGCTGACGTATTCGACTATGTGAATCCACAGCAACCTTAGATAGCCTCGACATAATCTCATTGTTGCATTTCCCGTCCAACGAATCTAAACTCGAATTAGTACTCACCGAGTCATGTGAGGTGCTCCCTATTTCGAGTAGCAAACCAAGCACAGTACTACCAAGGCTAGCAATGCAGCTGGAAGAAGGTTGATGCAAGGAAATCAGTGAAGGAACTGGTTTTGCATGTTGAGGAACATTGATTCCGTGCCTCAAAAGCCACTTTGAAACAAGGGCTTTCATTGCGAAATTTGGTGTCAGGGACAACTGCTTCAACGTTGTAATAGTCACAGGGCATATCTGATTGCCTTCACTAAACCACTTCTCGATCCAAACTCGTTCAAAAGTTTTTCCGGAAGCAATAATTACCGGATCATAAAGCAATCTCGTAGAGATTCGGCATATGAACTGTGCTGGAGGTATGGAAATGAGAAGTCATCACCTGCTTCTTCTTCTTCTTCCATCAATGATAAAATGCTCTCTTCTTCCATGTTTTTAGATTGGAGTTGCCAAATTAACTCATGTTTTTTCAGAAGATACAGAAGATACTTCAAGATTTTCCTGTTGTTTGAATTTGCATCCTTGACTCTTCCAAGCAGTTTTCTGATAGATATTTTCTCTCTCAAAAGAGAAAATGGAGATGTGATGCTCAGTCTCAAAGCTGCAAGTCGAAGAGCCTCGATTTCGGATTGCATTTTCGACGCTGATGCAGATATGTCACGTTCAAGCAATGCAAGTATAACTGCTCCAGCATCATATTCAGAAGGCTCTAATGAAAACCTCGCACTTGTAAGTTCCTCTATGATTCCAGCTATCTGTAAATAGTAATTTCTTCTTTAATTATGATCAAGGAAAAGGCTAAAAAAACTGCAGATAACAGACAAGAAGTGTGTGTGTGTATCTTTCCTATATGAACCTCCAAGCACCCTTCAAAATTGAACATTTAACAGATACTTGTATCCGACACACACCCGACTTTAACAACAGAAGCAAGTAAACCAAGCACTTTATGATTCTTCTGCAAGGCAATTATCGAGTGTTATTACAAACCTTCTTAGCCAAACCATTTCTTGAACTTGATTCATGCAAACCTCCATAGTTCTCCGAATATTTTCACACCTCAAGAGTATAAATTTCGCTGAAATTGCCTAAATAGTTGATAAATACAACTGTTATACAAATAATTTCAACATCAACATGATAGTTTATGTGAATATCTTACAGACTAAACAGGGAAGTCAGATACGAGAGATGGAAAAAATTGAACACACCGGTGTCGGAAACATACCTGTATCTAATTTTCACATCCGAGTTCGAGTAAAGAACAAAAATAAAATACAATGATATGATGTGCTAACATGGGAATTTATTTCATAATAAAATAACCACCTGGGACCATGATATCAATGCCTAAATTCAGCTGAATCCTTTCATGCAAACTTCTTTTACTTCTTATACAAACAGAAAAGTAAAATTTAAGAAGTACCAAGTCGAATTTGCTGGATTCAGAACAGTGCTGGATTAGTAAATTGGCTTTATCCATTGCAGACTGCAATGTGCACAATGCACGAACTCCTGGTGTGCATCGTGGCCGAGCTGCCTCGAGAGCTGAAAACATGTATGAAACGCTATCGATGAGTTTCTTCAGCTCCGAGCACATCAACCGATGTACCTGCATCTATCGGAGGCTGTGAAGTAAACAAACATGAAAGTTCCTTATTGGAAAAACGAAGCAATTGATCAAAGCTGGAAAAAGCAGTTAACATTTACCTTAATGGAGCTGTAATATGGAAGATCAACACTCTCAGCAGCACCAAGTTCCATATGATAAGTCCCTGCAAATTTATCAAAACAATTGGAGCCCTCAAATAATTATGTTTGCAGCATACACCATTTACAAATTTGCAGAATCTGTTTGGTACAAATATAATTGAGAAGAAAACTTGCCCGGTGGTTACTCTACTGGCAAAAAAACTCAACTGGATAGAAACATAAAGGTGAACAGTTCACACTAAAAACGAAAGAGTAATCACAAAGAAACTAAATGGAAGTGGTCTGTTTATACAGTTTACACTTCATAATTCATACTACAAATTGTAAGAAAAACAAAATTTACGAGGGAAGACAGTCATTGTCATAAAGACTCCAATTTTCTACAATAGAATTTCCAGGAGTCCACCCAATAAGAGCGAGAGAGGGGAACTGTATACTTATTTTTTTGGCTGTTCAAACAAATTATGTAAATATAATTAAGTAATAATTTTAAGAATTAGGACTCAACATTTATATTTTAGAATTTAATATTTAAGATTTAGTTTTATTGATCAAACAAGTTAGTCTCATCTGTTATCATAAAATTATTACATCAATCCTTTTCGTTGCGTCGACATCTATAATTTCAATCATTAAAAATCACATAATTTATTTATTTTTTCTTCCATGTCATCTTTTTTCTAAAGATAGATTTTTAATTTTTTTCCATATAAATATAAAAATAAGTGATTGATTAAAAATTAATTACATATAAATTGAAAATATAGGAAAAAATAAGAAAATTTATCTTTAATGATTAAAATGAGAAAAATTCATAAATAATATCTTCATAACTAATGAGATGTTATCTTAATCATCTATTTTATTTGAATTTTTATCTAGCTGTCAAATTATCTGTTCACTTTAAAATTATTAGTATTGTCATTACCATATATTTTTGTATATTTATCTAAGTAAAAAAGTTATCTGATCACAACTTCAAAAACTTGTAAGTTGTAACTAAAATTATCATAAAATTACAAATAGTTGTCCTTTTATTTAACTAAATAATAATCAATTACACTTTTAAAATCAAATAGTGTTAAAAAATCAATAATTCATTTTATGAATTGCAAATTATCTATAATTATTTGTTCATAGAGTTACGCATAATTATTCGAACTTAACAGAATAGTTTATCACTAGAGGAATCAATAATTTTTTATATATATCTACAACGAACTGCCTTAAACCTAACACCACCATTTTTACAATTTATAAGTAGCAAGCTTTGCAATTTCTTACACCATACCACCCCTAGACCAAATATTTTTCCCCCTTCCTAGCTTGTTTCTCTTTTGTTTCTGCTAAACATCCAACTAATCCAATAGCTTTATCATATTAGTCTCCTTTTTCATTCATCCCCAAGGTAATAACTAATGGCATCAAGTTTCTCACTTGTTCATGCGGTTCTAATTCCTTTTGGATATCAAAGCAAAACAAACAATTTAAAAATACGCTAGTTGTGTATGGTAAGAACACCTAAATCGATAGCAAAAGGTGACGACTGCCCTCCGAAGAAGTAAGAAGGCACTATGAGATCCTAGTGGAGAATCTCATGTATATTGAATCTGATAAAATCCTTATACCCAACTACAAAGCACTACTGGAGGTACACAAAATGAATTGCTGGTGAGAGATAAAGTAGAGTATTACCAATAACTATCCTCATTTACAAACTCTTTTTTATCCACATTCAATGTCAACTACTGTCACCTTATGGCATAAGAATGACAATTAAAAAGATTATAATCATTGTATTGATGGACACTTAAAAATCTATAGTTTCTACAGGTCAGCCACTCAACCTCAACCTTAACATGAAATATGGACATTTTTCTAACTCCAAAACACAAGAATATTATAACAAACTGAAAAGCATTTAAGAATGTTATCTGGTGTACTTTCTCGAGATAAGGATGGACGTATGATTTTATAAATTTATAAAATATTAAGAGAGATAAACTTATAAAATTTTAAAAGATAAAAACAAATTACTGATAAAAATATAAAGACAATACTTAAATTACATAAAAATTTGAAATTTTCAAATAAACAATCGATTGTTGATCTCCGTACCATCCTGGATGCATGGTCTGATGTTCAAAAATCACATTTACACATCCCACTCTTCCAAAGATAATGATAGTTAGAGTTCAAATCAAACATCTCATCTCATATGGCTACAATTTTTCCTTTTTTGGTTATTTTAAGTTATTTTCTATAATATTATAGTTCAATTTACTATAAAGGGCCCACATGTTAAGCTTGTAATTATAATACTGAATTTTTCATTTTTAAATAAAATTAGTATTTGTTAGATTTTTTCTTCTTTTTTCTCCTCTTCTTCTAAGTGTTTTTTTTGTCTAATTCATACGTTTACACTCTTTGTTTTACTCTACAACAATGACAAATCTCACCGATATTTATAAAGTTTAGTAGTTATTGGATAATTATAGATTTATCTAGAAATTACGTTGGTTTTCAACACTATTACAACTAAATGTTATGTGTTTCATCTTGGCAGTTCCTGAAAAATACAATAAATGAATCATATAATTAAAAGAAATTAAAAAAAAACTACTAGAAATAGGATGACTTTAAAGCACACGTCGCACACCAAAACACACCACTAATGTAAAACACCGATGCACACCATTAATTAAATTGTCTTTATTAAATAAATATGAAAAAATATAATGACCTATCTGTAATTAATCTTTTTTATTATTTAATTTAAATTTTAATAGCAATATAACTAAATTATATATATATTTTTTAAATTATAATTATTTTATGAACTTTTATTTGTTTAGGATTCGAACAAATAATTTATACAAATTTGTATATTCATCCCAATAACCACCATTAAAACCTAACCACCGACAACCCTATTCATCGCAAGAAATTATGTTCTTTAATATACACTGATGACGAATAGTTATATCAATAGAAAATTGGTCTTTCTCTTAACCAAACGTTGCCTAGCTCTCCGTCACCTTACAATCGAGCGCAAATTACTGTCGTTCGCGCCTTACCTTTAGGGTGCGTTTGGTTCACGGAATGTAAGATTACCAGAGAATATGATTACTAAGAATGTTGTATTTTGTGTTTGGTTGGTTTAGCAGGAATGTAAGATTACTGTGTTTGGTTAAAGGAATAAAAGATTATTGGAATGTATATTTGATCAAATTATCCTTATTATATATTTATTTTTTAACAAGTTGGAAAATATTTATATATTTTCTTTAAAAAATTTAAATTCATAAAATGTATATATATATATATATATATTTACAAAATTGAAAATATAAAAAGGTTTAATGAAAGGGTAAAATTTTATTTTAACCCCTGAACTTCATATAAAATTTTAACTAGACTTTTTTTTGTAAATCTAAAATAGTTTAAGGATAAATTTATAATTTAACCTTCGTAGAATTTTTATTATTCAATGACAGAAGAAGGATATTTTTGGGGGAAAAAATTAAGGGCATTTTAGTCCAAAACGTCGGTAATCCATCAATACCTAAGGAAATGGAGGTAATGACATTCCCAGTAATATATCCAAAAAAATCTACTATTAGTATTAAAATATTACCGGAAATGAGATTCCCGACCAACCATTCCCAACCATTCCCATGGGAATCACACATTCCTTAATCCAATCACTCCCTTATTATTATTATTATTATTATTATTATTAGCTCTTTCCCCCTCCATTAGTCGTTGCCATTTTGGGGACAAAGCCATTGCCATCCCCTTGTGTTCGCCTTGGTATCGAGTAAGAGAATCTTGAAAATAATTTTGTATAATTATCGATTCTACCATGCTACGTACATGAACTGACATATAAACGTTAGAAATTTAATTTCTTAGTGCTGAAAATTTTTAAGGTGTCATTGTAGAAAATTTTAAGAAGAAATCTTGACGTTTTTCCTTATTCGTTTCCAACACCATTTACTGAAAAAAAAAAAGGGATTAGAAGCCACATTCCAACGTTAAAAGGAATCATAAGCTATGATTCCTCAGATGGTGTCTGTTATCGTATACTCAACAATGAAAATAAGGTTTGATGCACACAGTCTTCCCCAAGAAATATACAACTGAAGGTGGGGCACTCAATTTAGCCTTTTCTAAGTTAATGTACTACTGATCCATGGTCGGTTCATGTATGTAGATTGGGGGACCATGTTATATTACACATGTCACCATGCAAGTGGAACGACTAATGAAGGGTAAAGAGCTAATAATAATAATAAAGGTACGACGCGAACAACAACAACATGGATAATCAACGGTCGATTGCAAGGCGATGGCGAGCTAGGCAATGTTAGGTGAAGATAAATACTAGTTTCCACTTAATATAGTTCTCCGGTGGCATTGTATATTGAAGAACACGATTTTCCAACGATGAATAGGGTCGTCGATAGTTAAGTTTAATGGTTGCTGTTAGGATGAATACGCAAACTTATACAAATTAAGTGTTTTAAACCTGAACAAATAATTTTTTTTAAAATAATTATAATTTTTAATAAAAATATAATTTAATCATATTCCTATTAAATTTAAACTAAATAATAAATAAAGTATTAATTATGGATAGGTGATTATATTTTTTCATATTTATTTAATATGAACAGTTTAATTAGTGATAACTGATGCGCAACTGTGTATCACATTAATAGTGTGTTTCGGTGTACGACATAGATTCTAAAATTTTCCCTAGAAATAATATCTAAATTATTAGATAAAGATTATGGAACTAAGAATGAAGCGATCTGCACAAAATTAAAACGACTAACCACAAAAAAATAATAGTTATAATCAACAGTGAGAAATGAAACGTAGGCGATGTAGATATAAATAAATAAACAAACGATCATTTCGATTAATAAAAAACATCAAACTAGCGATTTCAGTTCTCGATTTCACCAATAAGAACAATGGAAATTAAGATTACTGATTGAATCATAAACTTAATTTCAATTCTTGAATCACAATCGCATGGGATTTAAAGAATACAACACAATCTTTGTTGCTGTTATCAAATCAACAGACAGTGGAGAAAGAGAAGCTGACCTATTTAAAATCAAGCACCCAGAATCGCAATTTGAATCTGAATAGAGAACTCAACCAAATCAAGCAATAGTTGAAAATCTGAGTTTGAATTTTACAAAAAGAGGTATTTAGAGAAAGGGAAACAAGGATATACTGATTTTACGAGGGCATCAGATAATTTCAAAAGCAGCGCATCCTGGTTTTAATACAGATGGAAAACGCGGGGGAAACTTTCATTTCCTTTACAGATCAAGACAATTGA